TGGGCTTATGCACATGGACTTCTTGGAAAAATGTCTTATTTATATAAAAATAATAAAATAATAATTTATATTAAAAGCGGTTCGGTCCGGTTCCTCTGGTTCTTAATATTTCCAAATCGGAACCGGAACCGTTTGAAACGGTTCGGTTCGGTTTTTGTTTCGATTTTGACTTTTTTTGTCAACATGGTTTTTTACGGTTTTTTTTGTCACGGTTCGATTTGGTTTTCCAATTTGGCAGTTTTTATGCTCACCACTAATTTTGGCTATTTAGCCTTAAACTTAAAAACTTGATTCCCTCTCCCTTTAATAAACGTCCAGCTCATCTATTCTCTCTGCTCTCTTCCCCTTTATTCTCATGTATCCTCTCCCCTCTTCTCTTTCACGCAATAGTACCTCCGTCTTCCGGTCACCAACGACCGTCAAATCATATCTCCAGAATCCTCTACCCGTCATCTTTCCAACCCTCAAGTTCGTTTCTACAAATTCGTAGCCGAATTCTCTTAATTTTAGATCTAAGAAATAGTGACCGCGGGCTTTCTAGCCAATTTCCGGCCAAGTCTGCCGGAACTGAACCTCAACCTAATGATATGATTTGTAATTAGTGATTAGCTTAATCACTATTAAAGGTTTTAATCTTGGGATTATTTGGCCTATTCCTGTTTTAGTTAAGTTTGTTCTAATTAGCCAGCTGGCATGATGAGTTGTGACTTGTATAAAAGCACTAGCTCTCACTATTGTAATCAAATGAGAATTTACACAAAAAGAAATTAAACATAAAAATATTTGGAGCTCTGCTCCGTCTTTTCTCCTTCCCTCTTCTTCCATAGCTTTCTTGTGCTACTTGCAGGTTGATTAAGGGAATTGAGAATTGGATCGTACCAATGGTATCATTCTTCTCGACTCATGGTTTCCCTCCTGTGCACGCCCACCCGACCCGTCTTCTTGCCATGGATGCACGCCTCTCAACTACAATCGACTCTCTTGTAGCTTCAATGTGTGCTGACCTCCGTGCAATTCGGGATTTTGACTTTGCTCTCTACAAGGCTTTGGATTCTGCAGTCGCACCACTCCACCGTAACCTTGCTCTGTTACGCCATGACTTGGCTTTAGGTGCTGCGGAAGGTTCCAGTCCAGCCTCGATGTTTTCCGATGCCGCTGCATCCATCAATCTAGGTCACAAGACACTTCAAAATGTTGGCCAACATGACGGAAACGGCACCCCACAGCGAATTTCATCATTAACATCCGTCGATTATGTTCCGCCGTTGCTCTCTTCTTCACCATTATTATAAGCAATAGCAATTTCTCCTGTCCAGCCACAGTTGAACTTGAATGCTTCAATGGCAGCACACACCAACAATAATAAACCATTTTTGAGCAGCCAGGAAACTCCAACCAGTGGGCAGGGTCTAAGTTTTACCCCAACCCCGATGTCTGCTATCAATGCTACGGACGACTCATTTTCGACCCCGTTGTTGTCGGCTGGCGTTGAATCGCTAGTTGTTGATCACAATCCGCTTCTATGGTTTGGGATCCACAACGGAGAATGCAGCCCACCGCGAATTCAGAGTTCACACCGGATCGAATTCCCTCGATTCTCTATCAAAGATGATCCGTTCTCCTGGATCTCCAGGGCGGAGCAAATTTTTGCCCACTTTAACACTTCTGCATCTCCGAACTTCAAAATTACCTCATCTCATCTAGACAACGAAGCTTTGCAGAGGTTTTGTTGGCACAATTGCATTCCCGCTACATCTCGTTGGGAGGAATTTATAAGAGCTTTCTGTCGAGATTTTGGCCCCTCCAAAATTGAGGAGTATGGAGATTACTGGAGCTTCAACTCATAGATTATCTGCCTCTATATGCTGCCCTCAAACCATATGAACACCACAAAATGTCGACATGAGGTATTGACATCCTTGCTTTCCAATTTTAAAAATCAGATGGACAAATTGTATTGGATTTTGCAGTTTATTCTGGCATATTATACTGGTGTTATTGTGATCATGTATGAAGACTTCTTAACTGATAAATGTGCATGGGTTAATTGGTATCTTGTGGGAAAAATTGTGAAGAAAGAATTTTATGCATTAGAACTGTTTGATGAAATGCCAAAGAGAGAGTGTGAGGATTTTAGGGGCACCTATCTTGAATTCATATTCTCTCTCAAGTATCACCGGGAAATCAATTTTGGTGCCTTAACTATCGATCTACATGTTGTTTTCCCTGTGTTATTCAATAGTAACCTCAACTTTCGGCCAGTATGGGATCCTAGAGATGCATTGGCTCAAGCTGTAAAGCTGATGCTCTATCTTCAGTGCAAGGAGGGCAAGCACATGTATAATTTCTTCGATGTTCAAAGATTTTTGCAGCAGTGTCTCGTAACATAAGAAGAGCATTGCTTTATGAGATTGAGCGGTACAAAAATGAAGCCTTAGTTGAGCAACTTGGTTGTCTTGACATCCAACTTCACTGTTCTGATTTCCATTCGGAAACAAATAATGAAGGAAACTGGTCCAAAGAGCACAATGGAGTTATTATTACTGTAGCTATGTTGTTATTTGTTTGTACAAATGTTCCCATTGTACAAGAGAGCTCAATTCCCCAATACATGGTTGAAGTGGCAAGGCATGTGATTACGGTTGCTCCTGATACTACTAAAGGACTTGGTTGCATAGCAAGGAGTGATGAAGGGTTGGTGCAATTTCAGTGGCTTAATCATAGACTTAAGCTAGTCAAGAGGAACTATGAGTTCCCAACTCTGTATACTATGGATTGGCGTGACATTGAATTCAGAATCTCTGAAGGCATTGATCTTATTGCAATGTCAGTTGTAAACAGTGCTGAATCTGTGAAGCAATTGAAAAATCACATATTCACCAAATCAGCCAAATCCATAAGAGTTTTTGCTATGATTGAGAGTTTGGAATCCCTTCAGAATTTGGAAGAAATTATAAAGGCATTGGATAGAATCAAAGTTGCGAGAGTTGACCTTGGAGTTGAGATCCCACTTGAATAGATTCCAACTATCCTAGAGGGAATAACCAATGTATACAGGCAGCTTAACAAACTAGTTACTGTAGCTTATCAGTTTCTTGAATTAGTGATAGAATACCCAACTCCAACCCATGCTAAGGTTGCAGATGTTTCTGAAGTTGTTCGACACTATGCATTCAATATTGTCAGAAGTATTTCCATTGTTGAATCCTTATTTGATGCCTTCAGCCAACAATGGTTTAGTGTGAAGCTTATATATGCATTATGCTGCTTGTTAATTCTTATCCTTAGAATTGTTGGGATGCACTATGTGGTCAATTTGGTGGGAGGCTTAAAAGAACCTATAAAAGCGATGGCTGCCATTGAGTCCATTGCTTTAGTGTTAGCATATTTCACTAACAAATGAATTATTACTTTATTGCTTTACTATGGTGGAAGAATTGGTTACGGAAAAGAAAATCATGAAAGGATGCTGGGCAAATGGGAAGTTGTGGATGTCAATGATTGTTGCAGCTGTGCTTTATATTTGGTGGACTCTGGGAAGATATATGGCAAACACCTCTATACTACTAAGAACTTCCATGTGGAAGGCTCGAGCACTGTGTCTTCTAGGAAGCCTGTGATCTTTGCAGACGAGACATGTGCCACCCAGACTGCTGCACTGGAAAATGCTAATTTTGCACCTGTCTTTGTTCAAGGATTTCTAACTTCCGTGCGCAATCGGTATCAACTATTCATGTCAGCTGTAGTGTATACTGCTGATGAGAGTTTCGAATCCATAACCAACACACAAATTGAATTACAGCCGATAGAGTTAAATGCACAAAATTTTGTCAAATTCAAAGTACAGAACAGTGACTACCCCATTGGACCATTGCAGAAAAAATAAAGCAAGTTCATTTTTAACCTTGAGGACAAGGTTGTTCTTGAAGGGGGGAGTAATGATATGATTTGTAATTAATGATTAGCTTAATCACTATTAAAGGTTTTAATCTTGGGATTATTAGGCTTATTCCTGTTTTAGTGAAGTTTGTTCTAATTAGCCAACTGGCATGATGAGTTGTGATTTGTATAAGAGCACTAGCTCTCACTATTGTAATCAGATGAGAATTTACACAAAAAGAAATTAAACATAAAAATATTTGGAGCTCTGCTCCTTCTTCTCTCCTTCCATCTTCTTCCATAGCTTTCTTGTGCTACTTGCAGGTTGATTAAGGGAATTGAGAATTGGATCGTATCACCTAAGAGGTAAAAATGATCCTCTCCTCGGGGGTTGTTCTCTAGTGTAAGTGCTTTCTCAAAATAAAAACTTTCAGTTGTGAGGTCGATTCTAGATTTCAATTTTTAATTCCGTTTTCTGTATGCATGTCGAAGATTGGGAACAAGGAAGGTGAATTAAGGTTGTTTCCAACCTGGGCCGAGAAGAATGGAAGGTTGTGTGGGTAATCCTTTTGCCTTAGAAGATTTCTTTGGTCCCTTCAAAGACAAGATTCCATGGTAATCCCTTTGCCTTGTAAAATTGACATAATTGATGCCCCTTATTCTAGGAAAATGAAAATTTGGTGTTTAAGATTGTTTGTTTTTATGCTGTGTCTCCAGAAAAATGAAAAGCTGGTTTTTCAGAATTTGAAAATTGATCTGTCTCCAACAGGTTATGAATAGATGAATATAAAGTTGGCATAGGCAATTATTAATAACACTAAAGAATCAATGAAACCTTGAGAATGAAGAAATCGAAAAACAAGTAGTAAGAGGAAGAGAGACAGACGTTTCTGTATTCAATGGATAATAGAAAGTTTTGTTTTTACATGATATTGCTCTAAGTCTCTAAACAAAGCTTATATAGAAACTATGATGAGCAAATTTACACTTTTACCCTTTTAACTAACTCTAACTGTTTTTCAACAAACTCAATCTAATCCAAAGTTATTTGGTTAATACTCCCCCCTCAAACAGAATTGGGATCTCCCAAATTGTGTTTGCAGCACTAAAGGAATGATTGATCATGGCAAGGATGAGGAGTTGACACTGATATGATCTTTGTCTGCTGCTTTTGGCACTTGTAATATCTGTGAACATTGTTGATTACCACCAGGCACGCCAATATAAAGATTTGCACAGTGGTGAATGAACACTGGACTATGCAAACCTTTAGTGAACACATCGGCTACCTGCTCATTTGTTGATATGTACTGAACAGCACGATCTCCCTTTTGGACTTTCTCACGAACAAAGTGATAGTCCGTATCGAGATGTTTAATCTTCGAATGGAACACTGGATTGGAACATAGGGCCAGAACTGAGAGATTATCACAATGTAAAGTAGGAGGTAGTGTAAGAACTTGATGCACATCCTTAAGAAGAGAACGAATCCAGAACACATAAGCAGCACAATGTGCCAAGGTTTTGTACTCGGCCTCTGTGGAACTATGAGACACTGTTGCCTGTTTCTTTGACTGCCATGAAACCGGATTTGAACCCAAGTAAACTACATAGCCCGTAATGAACCTTCTTGTATTAATGTCTGCTGCCCAGTCAAAATCAGAGTATGCATTTATCTGAAAATCAGAAGAGTGAGTGTATCGTATACCATAGTTTGCTGTACCCTGGAGATACCTTATGATTCGTTTCACCAGATGCATTTGTGACTCAGTAGGATTGGTCATATATTGGCACACAACATTGACAGAGTGTGCTATATCTGGCCTAGTAAAAGTAAGATACTGCAGGGCTCCAACCAGACTCCTATAGTGTGTAGGATCAGACAATGGTATTCCCTCAGTTGTAAGTAATTGGGAATGTGGTTTGGAAGGTGTTGAGGTTGGTTTACAGTGCTCCATTCCAGCCTTTTTCACCAATTCCTTCGTATACTTTGACTGATTCACAAATAAAGATCCATCTACATTATAGTGAATCTGAAGTCCCAAGAAATATAACAATGTGCCCATATCTTTTAAATCAAACACATCTGCAAGACTGTCAATCACAGATTGAATCTTCTCAGTATTTGACCCAGTCAGGATGATGTCGTTAACATATAAAAGGAGCAAAATAACATCACTCCCATTAGCTTTCACAAACAAACTTGTATCAGACATCGAAGTTTTAAACCCGAGAGCATGTAAAAAACTAGTAAACTTGGAATTCCAAGCTCTTGGAGCTTATTTCAATCCATATAACGACTTCACGAATCTGCACACATGATTTGGATGTTTTTTATCCACAAACCCTTAGGGTTGTTTCATATACACTTCTTCTTCAAACTCCCCATGCAAAAAGGCATTTTTAATATCTAACTGTCTTAAACTCCAGTGAAATTGTGCTGCCAATGCCAGGATAAGTCTTACAGTTGAATGTCTAACCACAGGACTGAAGGTTTCTAAGTAATCTATCCCTTGCTCTTGACTAAAACCTTGTGCCACCAATCGAGCTTTGTATCTTGACATTGTCCTATCAGGATTCCTTTTTACTTTATAGACCCACTTACAACCTATCATTATTTTATCACTTGGAAGAAGAACAAGTTTCCATGTACCCTGAGACTTTAGGGCATCATACTTCTCCTGCATAGCTTTTTGCCATTGAAGGACTGTTGATACAGCTTTAAAAGTTTTTGGTTCCTCTACTTCATGTATGTCAGCCAAGAACGAAAAATCGCATGATATAGAGCTATTTGACTCCCCAATATCACCATCCAGAAACTGAAGAGATTCTAGTTGAGGTAATGTAGCCAGAAATGATGTGTAATCTCTCCTTATGATAGCACCAGTCTTAAGTCGAGTTTGAATAACATTATTCTGTGACTGAGATTGAAAGTGTGTATGTGATGAAGGCAAAGAAAGAATTACCTGAAGCTGAGCAGGATCAAGGACAGGAAGCAAGGGACCTGCACGTGGAGATGAGAAAAGAGTTTCTGTAGATGCCTGTGTTTCAAATCCCAAGAACTGCCTGTGTTTGAAGATGAAACTGGTGTCTGTGCATCATGACGAATTGCAGTGGATGAAGAACTATGAACAATCCCATTACCAGAAAAAGATTCTTCCTAATCATTTCGAGGACTTGAATTTCCATGATCTGAAGATCTTTGTTGCACTGGAATAGGTACCACTATACTTATATACTGAGATTGAGCTGGAATATGTTCTTGAACTGTAGATTTTACCAGTGCATAAGGAAATACACTTTCATAAAAAACAACATGTCTTGAGATGATATATTTCTTATTTTGAACATTGTAACAAATCACACCTTTATAGCCTATAGAATATCCTAAGAACACACATTGTGCAGATCTAGGTTGTAACTTATGCACATAATAAGGTCTTAACCATGGGTACACTGCTGAACCAAACACTTTCAAACTTTTCAACTCTGGAATCTTGGCAAATAGTTTCTTATAAGGTGAATCCATAGACAACCCTTTACATGGCATTCTATTAATTAAGAATACAACATGTGCACAAGCATAGTACCAAAAATCAATTGGCAATGCAGCCTGAACAAGAAAAGTAATGGTAGTTTCTACTATATGTCTATGTTTTCTTTCAACTACTCCATTCTGTTGAGGAGTGTATGGGTAGGAAATCATGTGTTCAACAGCTTTTGCATCAAGAAAAGCTTTAAAAGAATGACCTGTGTACTCACCCCCTCCATCAGTTTGTATACATTTAATGACAACACCAAACTGTGTATGAACAAGATTATAGAATTTCAGAAAAATGCTATACACATCTGATTTGTTATACATTGGAAAAATCCAAGTATATTTTGTATATTGATCAACAAAAGTTACATAGTATCTATACCCCTCTGTTGTTTTCACTAGAGAAGGGCCCCATACATCTAAGTGCACCTTTTCAAATGGTAAACAATACCGATCACTGCTAGGAGAAAAAGGAAGTCTACACATCTTTCCTTGAATACAATGGGTACATATACTATGACTTTCATCTAATTCTAGTGGTATGTTTGACTGTCTTAACATGATAGACATTATTTCATTAGTCGGATGACCAAACTGTTGATGCCACAAAGTTGACTTTACTAATTGCCCAAGAAAAACAGAAGGTTCTTGAATCACAAATTGTGCTCCTCTTAAATTCTTGATAACAAGGATTTGAAACAATTGTCCGACTCTACTCTTTCCTCTGTACATGATGTCCCTTGTCTTCTTGTCCTGCACAAAAAATTCATTCTCATCACAAATAAACCAACTATGATTGTCAGCACACAATTGTTGAACATATAGCAAACTTTGAGCTATTTTTGGTACATGTAAAACATTGTTAAGAACAAGGTTATGAGAGTTGGTTTTAATTGTAGTTGCACCAGTATTTGCAATAGATAAACCTGTCTCATTGCCAATTGTGATTGTATCAGAACCTTGGAATGGTGTGACTTGACTCAGTGTGTTGACATCAGCAGTGATATGGTGAGATGCACCAGTATCAACAATCCATGCATCATAAGGAATATGTTGTTCTGTTTGTTGTGCTGCCATTGCTGTTAAAGTGGAAAATGGTTGTTGACCCTGGAAAACATAGTTCCCCTTGTGATAACATTCAAGTGCTGAGTGACCACGTCTACCACAAATCTGACACTCAATTTGAAACCCAGTACTTGGACCATGACCATTTCTGTGAAAACAATTAACTGCAGTATGTCTTCTTTTGTTGCAAATCTAACATTCAATTACTGTAGTGGACCTGTTCTTAGTATTCCCATGCCACCCACTTGAACCATATTGTCTAGAACTACCAGATGAATATCCAGAGGAAGAACCTGTATTGTATCCCTTACCTTTGAAACCAGTGTTAGACTTATAACTAGGATTACCCTTATAATTTGGCTTTTGCATAAATGGAGGTTTTGGACCAGAATTTGGAACATTACCCATATATCCAAAACCATAAGGAATAAAAGAGTGAACTGGAGCAGGAAACTGTTGAGGTATTAAGGGTTGTAGGTATTGCTATTGGAGGACAAATGGTGATGGATATTGTTGCATATAAGGATCAGCAGAATAAGGGTATTGACAAGAAGTAAGAACACCCCCAGTTGTTGCTGGTAAATGGCTATGCCCTGCAGGATTAGAACCTGAAGCTGATGAATCACCCTGAGTTGACTAAGACCTTTGAACATATAAGGCAGAAAGATTATGAGACACGCCACTTAATTCTCCTTCAATTTCTTTTTCAGCCCCAAGCAACAAAGCCCTAAATTCTTTCGAAGAAATAGAGGACTCTCTAGCTAATATTACTGTTCGAATTATGGCATATTCTTTTGGTAACCCAGCTAACCCAGCAATTATCACATCATTATCAGAAATTAGTTCTCCAGTAGCAGTTAACTGTTCCCTTATATTTTTCAACCTTAACAAATATCTATCAATTGAATCTCCTCTTTTCTGAATTGTATGCAATTTAGTCTTTAGATGGTTGACTCTAGATTTAGACATTGAAGCAAAACGATCCACAAGATTTGACCAAGCCTTACACGCAGTTACACAACCAAGAACATATTCAATAGCCTCATCAGACAATGTAGCTAATAAAAGACTCAACAATGCCATATCTGTGGATTCCCAGTCAACATAAGCATCAGTAAGTTCAGAAGTAACACCTCTCTCAGTATGAATGACAAATTTTGGTGGACACACAATAGTACCATCAAAATGCCCAAACAATTTATGACATTTCAACACGGACTTAAACTGAATTATCTTCCTTCAATTTTATAGTAATCATTCCCAGCAGATTTTCAACCTTCACACTAGGATTAGTCATGATTTCTCAATGCAACAAACAGATTTGTTCAAGAATCTACAAAACACCCAACTATTCTACAAAATGAATTGATGGAGAGACTGAAACTCCCGCAGTAATCAAGAAAGACTGAAACTTTCTTATGAATCAAGAGAGATTGAAACTCCCGTAGTAATCAAACAAAAGAAATCGTAATCAAATACACAACATTCTGAAATCTTGAACTTCTAATCAGGACTGAAACCCAATTACTCAATAGAAAAACACAATATCACCTGAATCGCAGCTTTTGATGAAAACCCCAAATATCCAAAACTCAAATTCGGCGAAATCCCCTTTGACTCTTCGATTGTGTATAGTAGTAGCGGAAGACCTAGGATCGACAACGGCAGTGAGCCAATGCTGGCTCTAATACCATAATAACACTAAAGAATCAATGAAACCTTGAGAATGAAGAAATCGACGAACAAGTAGTAAGAGGAAGAGAGAGAGACGTTTCTGTATTCAATGGATAATAGAAAGTTTTGTTTTTACATGATACTGCTCTAAGTCTCTAAACAAAGCTTATATAGAAACTATGATGAGCAGATTTACACTTTTACCCTTTTAACTAACTCTAATTGTTTTTCAACAAACTCAATCTAATCCAAAGTTATTTGGTTAATAATTATGTTATATAGTGTAGGTTGGAGTTTGATTAATCCATATTTGATATTAATTTTCAATTACTGGTTGATATTTGATTGGTTATCCCTTCTCTGATTAGTATTACCTAGTCATTTGGTTGCTTTGCTTTATTACCAAGTCATCATTTGGGAATTGAAAATTTAGGTCTCATTGTTTTTTAGGAATGGTATAAGGCTCATTTGGGTTTGGTTCTAAACGCTTCTACATTATGTACAAAGGCAGTTATTTACTTTATGTGGCACGAAATTGAGTAAACGTATGATTTTCTTTATCCAAGTAACTACAGAGTATTACAGGAAAATGGAGTTCCAGTTTATGTTCATATTCTTGCAATCGTAGATTAGTTTAGAAGTTTAATTAGAATTTAAGTAGTTTTTGTTAATTTTATCTTTTGTTAGTAGATTATCTAGTCCTGACATTTGGAGTATTGGTAACTGACTAGTATAATTAATTAGTGAAATCAGATAAGCAAAGGGAGAATGAAGTTATCATGGCACAATTCTGGTACTCTTTGGGAGTTTTGGTATTGCGAGTCCTGTGTTTGGCTTAGATGTAGGCTTGAATTTGGCTAGTGCTAGTTTATCAAAAATAATAATACTAACTTAGTAATGTTATTTTTATTGCAGGTGTGGGCTTGAATTTAATGT